GGAGAAGCCGAAGGTATCATCTCTCTCACATTAATAACCAAATTCATATTAGGCACGGGAAATTCATCTTAGACAGGAAAGTTGATTGTAAAAACCCGTCTTAATATGACTTGGAATGGATATAAAATTTACACGTGTGATTGGTCGGGTAATGCTAAAAAGGGTATATCGTGATTATTACGATAATAATTTTGTTTATTTTCTCAGTTAAGCTCGTTTCACACGAGAGCTGGTAGCTGAGGTAAAGACCTCGCGAGGTTGTTAGCTCAGCAAGTTACTCTCGTGAGCGGATAGTTTTTCGTGAGGAATTCGCCTCGAGAGGCAAGTTTCTATCGTGTGCGGATAGTTTTCAGGCTGAGTTAACTGCTTCGCGAGGTCGTTAGCTCAGCTGATAGCTCTCTTGCGCCGGGCGGGCTTTACCCTTGTTCCGTCCTTGACCGTGTTGATATTTCAGAAACTCATCTGATTTATCCGTCTAAATGCGAATTTAAGACGAGTTTCTCGTCCAGAAGGGATTCCCGTTCAAATTAACCGTTTGTTTAGACGGGAAAGTTAGGCGGGAAAATTCTGACGAGAAACCCGTCTGTGGCTTGATTCACATCAGACGAGTTTCCCGTCTAAGATGAGTTTCCAAGAGGAGTTTCCCCTGTAAGACGAGTTTCCTGTTTTCCTTGACCTTGTAAGACGAGTTTCCCGCCTCTAATATGAATTCGGCTAAACTAAATTTTAAACTATAATGCATTTCTCGAAACAGAATGAGTAATGAATTTGGTCATTGACTTCTGTCACCCCCCGGGTTAGGTCTAAATGGTAATTTCATGTCGTGCTTTCAAGTAAAGATAAAAATACAATAAAAATAAAAGAAAGTGTAGGCACAGAATACCTATCAGAAGAACAACTCCATTGTTTTTTGCATAAGTGGTCCCGTTACTCAGCAAGTACATGTAAATGGAGGAAATCACCCCCCTGCCAACTGCCCCATTTTAATATGGGCAGGGGGTGTTCCTTATTACGGTACTTGCTGAGTGATGAATCTTGAAGAAGGATACCCCCCTGCCAGCACGCCATTTTCAAGACTTGCAGGGGGGTGATTCATGAAGGTCCACTAAAGAGGGAGAGTGTTAAAATTGAATAATCAATTTCTTTTTCAGATATAAAATGGATATTTCAGGTGGTCTTGGAAGATCTGCTGGAAAGGTATCCATATTCACAATTTTCTTCTCCATATTCACAGATATTCACTCCATAATCGTAAATTTTTTCCCAGTGAAAAACCGTACTTTTTGTCGTGAAATTTTTCAGATATGGCGTGTTGGTCTGATGGGGTTGAACAGTACAAAAGATAATGTAAATCTTGTACTAAAAGCCTTCAAGGACGCGATGGAAAACGTGAAATTACAAAAGAATCTGTGAGCAAACTTGAAACAAGAATTTTATTTTAGTTGACAAACCAATTTATATTAGTTATTCAGGGTTTTGTTTTAATAAAGAGTAAAACTATCTCTCCAAATCTTGTTAATTGTTAAATTTTAAAATATGACTTGGTCTGTGGCAGTCTGACAGACACAGACATCATTTACAGACAGGCTGATATTTAAAATAGGTAACTGAGCTATTTCTGAGGCAGAGGCTCAGTTAGGATTCTTGGTCTGGGGGACTGGGGCAGAAGAACCCAGATGGGGAGGGGTGGGGTTGTGGCTGAAAAACCTAGGTGGGAGGGGGGGAGTGAAAAACCTAGGTGAGGGGGTGAAGAAAAGTTATTTCAAATTTTTATTTTGTTTCATTTTAAACCTTCCTCAACGAAAAATCTTTTTCAAAGATTTGTTATTGTTCTTTAATATATAATTCTAGAACTGACTCAATTTAAATTCAATTACAAAAATACAAATCAGTATATGTCTGACAATCAACTTAGAATGCTGCAATCTATTTCTATAACTTTGTGAAAATCTTATAGTTCATTTCAATTGTTCATAATATGTTACGAGTTTTCACTTAATACCTTACATATTGTTCACACAACAACAGCAGTGGGCCACAATCTTGCTTTAGACATTTCTGGAAGTTCTTCCCAAGAATACCTTTCAAAGTTGAAACCTTCAACTGACTTCAGGTTTCCTTCCTCACCTGAACCTCCCAGGACTACAATGTTGTTTTCAATAACAACTGCAGTACATTCCACCCTCTCACATCTCATTGATGGCAGCATGTGACTTTGTTCTGTCTTGACATTGTAAATGACAACTGTATTTAATGTCTTGCCATGTTTGTCTTGGCCACCAATAACAACAATGTTGTCTCCCCATCTCACAGTTGCCATAGCACTCACTTCATACGGCAGTGGTGACAACTGTTTCAGCTCATTCTTCTTTATGTCGTACAGTACAACACTGCTGAGGCTGTCTTTGTGATGGCCAGTTGGACTTCCACCAACTATCAACAAATTATCATCAAATATTTCCATGCTGTGATATTGTCTTGGTTCTGGCATTCTTGATAAGGTCTTCACAGTATAGGGAGGAACAAGCTGGACTGATCTGATCAAGTCAGTGAACATTTCCATTATCACCTCCAGAGACTATCAACTGATCATTATACAGCACACTGCTGTGGTATCTCAACTTATCAGGTAGTTTAACAGGACAGTCACTCCAGTGTGTTGAGAGATCAGGGTTTGGGTCAATATTCATTCTAATCATATCATCAACAACGGAATACCGAGCACAGCGACCCCCAGCTATAGTCATATGATTGTTATAAATAAATGAAGTCGCTCCCCAACGTTTCTTTGGCATTGATTGTAATGGCGACCATGTTCTTTGACGCCAGTTAAACATCTCTACAGAGTCATTCAATAAACCTCCAGCAACAATTATATTTTCCTTATCACCACTTGGTCTATTTCTTACTTTTCTTGTGTTTTCTTCTTTCTTGCCCTCCATCGTGATAAGAACGTCCTTCATTTCATCAAAAGCTCTGACCAAAGCTGTTTTCAATCCATCGACTTTGTTGTTAACCGCTTCGAGTTTTCCTTCCATATCTGCTTTTATATCTGCTTTTAAATCTGCTGTGTTTTTCTCCATATTCCGTGCAACATTTTGCTCTAAATTTGTTATTTTAGTTGCAATTGTTACGTCGATATTCGCTATTTTTTCCTCCATATCTGCCAAAGTTTTCGTTATTTCTCCGCACGAGTGACACTTCAACTTTCGGAATTCACAGACTTCACTTTCATGGTGAATAAGATCACGCTTGTTGACAATTAAACCACAGCCTTGGTTTGTACAAACGGCTGGTGTATATCCACATGTATCTTCATGGCGGTCAAGATGCTGTAATTCTACAACTTCTTGACAACCTCTGTCGATGTAAACGCAACGAATTTTCGATTCATTCAAAAAATCTTTAACCATTCTATTTGGTTCGGCCAAAGTCTCTACGGTCAGTTTATCAGCACACGTTGGACATGTTTGAGAATTTTCCAGATGTTTCGTAATACAACAACGGCAAAAAGAATGCTGGTTTCTCGAACACATAACCGGCTCTTTCAAGACGTTGAAGCAAATCTGGCAATGAAAATTTTGATTGATTTTGTCCACAAACCTTTCTTCATCGTAGCCTTGTATATATGAAGCCATATTTCACGTCGTTCTTGTGTCGTAATAATAAAGCAAGTTCTGTGTTGTTTGTCGCTCTGTAGTATAAACCTCGCTGTATAGACTGAATATAGATACAGTGTTCGTTCTTGGATAAGTCTGTCTTTGTATTTTCTCGAAATCTTCTCCAAAATGATCAGTTTTTAAAGACAAATATCTCTTCCTTGTAAAGTGTTTGCATAAAATGCATCATTTGCTGTCAGGAATTCCTGGAATTTGCTGCGGTGTTTCCACAATAACACAAATATATTTAAAAATATCGAGAGCTGAGAGATAGAACTGGGACTGGAGTATAACGCACTGAGCTATGTATGCTGAGTGAATGGGTCAAACTGCATGGTCCAGCATTATGAACCTAGATTTTTCTTAATCGTGTCAGATGATTTTACTCATCAGTGGAAGAGTATTGTCAGTTAATAAGTTAACAAAACTATCTGTCAGTGTCTCTTGTTAACCCATTAGCTTGCAATGCATCCAGATGTGACCTACTTTAGTATTTTACTCTGTCTAATGTCAGATGATTTTACTCATCAGTGGAAGAGTACTGTCAGTTAATAAGTTAACAAAACTATCTGTCAGTGTCTCTTGTCCAGATGTGACCTACTTTAGTATTTTACTCTGTCTAAGTCGAGTTGAATATTTTCGCGGTGCAATAATATTCCAATCTAAATGAGTTTTCATCAACACACAAATGGTTCAGGATATCTTGTTGATTGATCTACAGCTGTGGTGAATAAGAAAAACGCAACTTCAAAGACAAAGTGTTCATGAAATTCACTTTCGTTTTGATCACAAAAGATCGTATAGCGTATCAAAATATTCATAAATATTAAGTGTTGCGTTTTTTAAACATCCTGTATAAGTGCGGTCATTATATCGATGAAAAGCCATTTCAAGCTAGAAGATTAAATTTTAGCAGATCAAAGATGTTTGGAGTTGTTAAGATCGTTGTTATATTCCTAGTCTTTGCAGGTACTGGAATACATATTGTGATATATATCTTTGTTCATAGAATTCTCAAGTATCACTTCGTTATTCTTCATCGTATTTTTCTGGATTTATTTTTCTAGATAATGCTGTTGAATGTTTTAAACTTGGTCAGCTTTAAATGCAGCTCAAATGGTACAAATTTAATCCGTGAATGTGACAGTCAGGGTTGTGGTGATTTCGGAGCACCAAGGTAAGACCAGATGTAACCTTGTAGCGACACAGCGAATCGATAATATTCTTATAATCTTACAAAACAATTAAATTAACGTGAATTTATCATTGTACAGAGGTTCTCGTACACACAATGGTGTCCACATAATTTGCAAACCAGCGAGTTCTGTCATGACACCATTTGCTGCGAAGATCTGACGAAAATCACGTTTTTATTCAAACAACAACAAACCATATAACAATGGATTGTATATTCAAGGAAGCGGAGAAGCCGAAGGTATCATCTCTCTCACATTAAGAACCAAATTCATATTAGGCACGGGAAATTCATCTTAGACAGGAAAGTTGATTGTAAAAACCCGTTTTAATATGACTTGGAATGGATATAAAATTTACACGTGTGATGGGTCTGGTAATGCTACAAAGGGTATCGTGATTATTACCATGATAATTTTGTTTATTTTCTCAGTTAAGCGCGCCTCACACGAGAGCTGGTAGCTGAGGTAAAGACCTCGCGAGGCTGTTAGCTCAGCAAGTTACTCTCGTGTGCGGATAGTTTTTCGTGAGGAATTCGCCTCGAGAGGCAAGTTTCTATCGTGTGCGGATAGTTTTCAGGCTGAGTTAACTGCTTCGCGAGGTCGTTAGCTCAGCTGATAGCTCTCTTGTGTGGCGGGCTTTACCCTTGTTCCGTCTTTGACCGTGTTGATATTTCAGAAACTCGTCTGATTTATCCGTCTAAATGCGAATTTAAGACGAGTTTCTCGTCCAGAATGGATTCCCGTTCAAATTAACCGTTTGTTTAGACGGGAAATTTAGGCGGGAAAATTCTGACGAGAAACCCGTCTGTGGCCTGATTCACATCAGACGAGTTTCCCGTCTAAGATGAGTTTCCAAGAGGAGTTTCCCCTGTAAGACGAGTTTCCTGTTTTCCTTGACCTTGTAAGACGAGTTTCCCGCCTCTAATATGAATTCGGCTAAACTAAATTTTAAACTATAATGCATTTCTCGAAACAGAATGAGTAATGAATTTGGTCATTGACTCCCCGGTCACCCCCCGGGTTAGGTCTAAATGGTAATTTCATGTCGTGCTTTCAAGTAAAGATAAAAATACAATAAAAATAAAAGAAAGTGTAGGCACAGAATACCTATCAGAAGAACAACTCCATAGTTTTTTGCATAAGTGGTTCGTCACTCAGCAAGTACCCGTAAATAAAGGCAGTCACCCCCCTGCCAACAGCGCTATTTTCAATATGTGCAGGGGGTTGTTTCGTCCCATTGACGGTACTTGCTGAGTGACAAACCTTGGAAAGGTCTACCCCCCTGCTATAAGCAGCATTTTAAATACTTGCAGGGGGGTGATCCATAGAAATCCACTAAAGAGGGAGAGTGTTAAAATTGAATTTTTTTTTCAGATATAAAATGGATATTTCAGGTGGTCTTGGAAGATCTGCTGGAAAGGTATCCATATTCACAATTTTCTTCTCCATATTCGCAGATATTCGCTCCATAATCGTAAATTTTTTTCCCTGTGAAAAACCTTACTTTTTGTCGTGAAATTTTTCAGATATGGCGTGTTGGTCTGATGGGGTTGAACAGTACAAAAGATAATGTAAATCTTGTACTAAAAGCCTTCAAGGACGCGATGGAAAACATGAAATTACAAAACAATTTGTGAGCAAAATTGAAATCAGAATTTTATTTTAGTTGACAAACCAATTTATTAGTTAATCAGGGTTCTGTTTTAATAAAGAGTAAAACTATCTCTCCAAATCTTGTTAATTGTTAAATTTTAAAATATGACTTGGTCTGTGGCAGTCTGACAGACACAGACATCATTTACAGACAGGCTGATATTTAAAATAGGTAACTGAGCTATTTCTTGAGGCAGAGGCTCAGTTAGGATTCTTGGTCTGGGGGACCAGGGCAGAAGAACCCAGGTGGGGAGGGGTGGGGTTGTGGTCCAAAACATAGGTGGGAGGGGAGGGGTTTGAAAGACCTAGGTGGAGTGGGAGCAGGAAGCTTATTTCAAATGTTTTATTTTGTGTTTCATTTTAAAGATTCCTCAATGAAAATATCTATTTCATACATTTATTATTGTTCTAAGAACTGACTCAATTTAGATTCGATCACAAAAATACAAATCAGTATATGTCTGACAATCAACTTAGAATGCTATTTCTATAACTTTGTGAAAATCTTATAGTTCATTTTAATTGTTCATAATATGTTAGGAGTTTTCACTTAATACCTTACATATTGTTTACACAACAACAGCAGTGTGCCACCATCTTGCTTCAGACATTTCTGGAAGTTCTTCCCAAGAATACCTTTCAAAGTTGAAACCTTCAACTGACTTTAGCTCTCCTTGCTCACCACACCCTCCCAGGACTACAATGTTGTTTTCAATAACAGCAGCAGTACATCCCCTCCTCTTACATCTCATTGATGGCAACATGTGACTTTGTTCTGTCTTGACATTGTAAATGATAACTGTATCTAATCTCTTCCTATGTTTGTCAGCGCCACCAATAACAACAATGTTGTCTCCCCATCTCACAGTTGCCATCTCACTCACTTCATATGGCAGTGGTGACAACTGTTTCAACTCATTCTTCTTTATATCGTACAGTACGACACTTCTGAGGTTGTCTTTGCAATCACCAGTTGAACTTCCACCAACTATCAACAAATTATCATCAAATATTTCCATACTGTGACCTTGTCTTGGTTCTGGCATTCTTGATAAGGTCTTCACAGTATAGGGAGGAACAAGCTGGACTGCTCTGATCAATTTAGATGAACCATTTCTCTTTGCACCTCCAGAGACCATCAACTGATCATTATACAGCACACTGCTGTGGTATCTCAACTTATCAGGTAGTTTAACAGGACAGTCACTCCAGTGTGTTGAGAGATCAGGGTTTGGGTCAATATTCATTCTAATCATATCATCAACAATGCCAGACCCACCACAGAAACCCCCAGCTATAGTCATATGATTGTTATAAATAAATGAAGTTGCTCCATAACGATCCTTTGGCATTGATTGTAATGGCGACCATGTTCTTTGACGCCAGTTAAACATCTCTACAGAGCTAGTCAATAAACCTCCAGCAACAATTATATCTTCCTTATCACCACTTAATCTATTTATTACTTTTCTTGTGTTTTCTTCTTTCTTGCCCTCCATCGTGATAAGAACGTCCTTCATTTCATCAAAAGCTCTGACCAAAGCTGTTTTTAATCCTTTGACTTCGTTGTTAACCGCTTCGTGTTTTCCTTCCATATCTGCTTTTATATCTGCCGTGTTTTTGTCTATTTTTCTGTCAAAATTTGTTATTTTAGTTTCAATCGTTACATTATTCTTCTCGATATTCGCCATTCTTTCCTCCATATCTGCCAAAGTTTTCGTTATTTCTCCGCACGAGTGACACTTCAACTTTCGGAATTCACAAACTTCACTTTCATGGTGAATAATATCACGCTTGTTGACAATTAAACCACAGCCTTGGTTTGTACAAACGGCTGGTGTATATCCACATGTATCTTCGTGGCGGTCAAGATGCTGTAATTCTACAACTTCTTGACAACCTCTGTCGATGTAAACGCAACGAATTTTCGATTCATTCAAAAAATCTTTAACCATTCGCGGTGCTTCGGCCAAAGTCTCTACGGTCAGTTCATCAGCACACGTTGGGCATGTTTGGGAATTTTCCAGATGTTTCGTGATACAACAACGGCAAAAAGAATGCTGGTTTCTCGAACACATAACCGGCTCTTTCAAGACGTTGAAGCAAATCTGACAATGAAAATTTTGATTGATTTTGTCCACAAACCTTTCTTCATCGTAGCCTTGTATATATGAAGCCATATTTCAAGTCGTTCTTGTGTCGTAATAATAAAGCAAGTTCTGTGTTGTTTGTCGCTCTGTAGTATAAACCTTGCTGTATAGACTGAATATAGATACAATGTTCGTTCTTGGAGAAGTCTGTGTTTGTATTTTCTGGAAATCTTCTCCAAAATGATCAGTTTATGAAGACAAATATCTCTTCATTATAAAGTGTTTGCATAAGACGCGTCCTTTCCTGTCTGGACTGGTCAGGACTCAGGAATTCCTGGAATTTGGTGCTGTTTTTGCAGAAATGAATTTGAAAATGTTACGAGCTGACGGAGAGAACGGAGAGAGCTGGAGCTGAATGAAACATTTTTCTGATATTTTCAGTAGATTTTAGAGAAATGTTATTTTGCAGTAATTTAAGTGGACTGTAAAAGCTTTAAGTCTTTAACTTGTTCTATTAAAATGCGAATTTACAATTTCAAAAGTGCTGACGATGCTGCGATAGTTTTTAATATAAAACTCCATGTTCACTAAATCCTAAATACACGAATTTAATATTTTGGATTACGTTAGGAATTGGGTTAAGATTATGTTTTAGGTTTATAGTTTAATAGGGTTAAAACTTATCCTAAATTTAACCCTAATCCTAATCTAATCTTAAAGATTGAATGGAATAATACTGCCAACATAGAAAACGCTAAACATTCCAGTGTATCGAGAGATCAGTAAACTGTCAGGGAGCGAAATTTCAAGGCAAAAGGAAGTTTGTTTTGGCAGTTAATGAGTTAAAAAAACTATCCGTCAGACTTATTTTTTATTTGAGATTATGTTACGATTTGGGTTAAGATTAGGTCTTAGGTTTATTGTTAAATAGGGTAAACCTAATCCTAAATTTAACCCTAATCCTAACCTAATCTCTGGAATTATATTGATTACCAACATAGAAAACGCTAAACATTCCAGTGTATCAAGAGATCAGAAAACTGCAGGGGAGTGAAATTTCAAGGGGAAAAGAGGAAATTTGTTTTGGTAAGTGGAAGCAACCGTCGTTTTAAACTTTCAATTTTCAAACATTTCTTTTCCAAACTTTCGTTTTGAAGCAAAATATTTTCAATTATTTTCTCTCAATTGCAAGGAAATACACGAGCTTTTCTAGCGAAATATGTCGCACGACGTGACCGTAAACTTCAACGGCAAATCATTTAACCTTCGTTTTCAACCATCCTGGACAATCGCTCAACTAAAACACGAAATTGCTCGCAAGAGAAATGTCAAAACTGCTGGAATTAAAATCATTTTTGCCGGTCGAGAATTACCCGATGAATTAACACTCGGGGTGAGTGATTTTTAGGAAAATATCAAGCTTTTAATGTGATTTATATAACAATTTTCAAAGAAATAACGAAAGCTTTACTGTGAAATGTTGAAATGATTTCATAAATGAGGTTTTTTTTAGTTCGGGATTTTGATGTTTAAAGCGACCATCTTCGTTATAGTAAATCTGAGATAGATTATGATACAGCTTGTCTTGCTTGAGTCAGTCCATTTCAGAATATCACAGTGTCTGAATCTTGATAAAATGATATTTTAAGACATTTTTCAAAGCCATCTTTCTCCATTAAAACTTAACCCAAACTTAAGTGAATTCTCACTCATGGACAGTTTCCAGGATTTTTCAGATGATTCTCAGAATTCTCAGTCTTTAAATTGCCATCAGTCGACAATGAGTCTGGCATTCAGAGATCGGAAACTTTTTTTATAGAATGCAGAGATGAACCACAGCGTCATTCATGCTGTTCAGAAATCTGGTCAGATCTCAGTTGATGCAACTTACAATGCGAATGATGGTTTGACGAAAGTGAAACTGACACAGGATGACGAAGATGAAGATGGTGAATCTCAACAATCAGGTGGTGACGAGATCTTTCATAAACCTCTCAATGGTGTGACCCCACCCTGTTTAATCCCCTTCCTAATTTTACACCCTCAATAAATACCTCCAATATGTTCCTTCTATGTTCACCCTCGTTCCTCTCCCTCTCTGATATGACCTGATTTAATAAACCTCTTTCCTGATAAACCCCTCTCTAGTTAATCCACTATAATAACCTCTTTTTCATGTCTGTTCCTTGTATTTTATCCCTGTCTAATACACCTCTTTTTAAATAACCCTTTCTCTAGTTTGTCCTCTATAAAATATCCTTCTCAATATCCATCTCTAATTAACCCTCAAATCACTTTCTATTCCCCTCTCTCATAATGCCCTTCCCTAGCTATTGTACCTCTTCTCTAATATTCCTCTGTAATTAACCCTCAAATTATTCTCTATTCTCTTCCCTAATAGTATGCACCTCCCTAATGTACCTCTTGGAACTCTTATATCCCTCTCTAATTAACCCTCTATAGCCAATCCCCGTCAGTCATCCAACTGTAAACGTCAGGTTGTGACAAGATCTTTCATAAATTTCTAGATAAATAATGTGACCCCACCCTGTTTATTCCCCCTCCTAATTTTACACCCTCAATAAATACCTCCAATATGTTCCCGCTATGTTCACCCTCGTTCCTCTCCCTCTCTGATATGACCTGATTTAATAAACCTCTTTCCTGATAAACCTCTCTCTAGTTAATCCACTATAATAACCTCTTTTTCATGTCTGTTCCTTGTATTGTATTTCTGTCTAATACACCTTTTTTCCAATAACCCTTTCTCTAGTTTGTCCTCTATAAAATATCCTTTTCAATAGCTATCTCTAAATAACCCTCAAATCAGTTTCTATTCCCCTCTCTCATAATTATGCCCTTCCCTAATATACCTCTTCTCCATTATCCCTCTCTAATTAACCCTCAAATCACTCTATTCCCCTCTGTCATAATTATGCCCTTCCCTAATATACCTCTTCTCTAATATTCCTCTCTAATTAACCCTCAAATCATTCTCTATTCCCTTCCCTAATAGTATGCCTCTCCCTAATGTATACGTACCTCTTAGAACTCTTATATCCCTCTCTAATTAACCTTGTATAGCCAATCCCCTATACCCTTCCCTACTAGCATGCGCCTTTCTAATATGCCTCTTCTCTAAAAACCCTTTTCCCAATTAACCCACCCCACCCTTGCCCATACCCCCTTACCTGGATGTCCTCTAATACAGTACTGTACCACTTTTCTAATTGTCTGTCTCCAATAAACCCCTATCCCCAGCTTGATACCCTTGCATTTTTCTCATGGAAAAAGCTGCATGGGTAGGGGTTTCTCTACCCTGCCTTTCCCCCCAATCTTATTATACTTTATCCATTAAGCCCCACCCTCTCTTTCTAATAATCTCGTCTCTAACGTACACCAGGGTTTGTTTAATAATCAATATTTTTCATACTCTCTCATCTCAGGCAAGCAAAGTTTCTTCTTTGTTTATTGTAAAACTTGCAAGAAACTAACACGAGGAAAATTGCGATGTCGATGTTCAAATTGCAAGGAAGGAAGCTTTGTTCTATCACAGGTATTTACTGTTTCCTTATAAACAACTTTTAAAAAATCTGCAGCGGATTTATATTTAAACTTTATAAAATGTTGACATTGTTACAACTTGTTTACAAGCTTGCTGTGAAAGCTTTTGAATGTCAACAAACATCTTGTTTACACAATATTTATGGTTTCTTGCAAGGGTCCAAATGGTTGGGATGATGTATTGATCAAAGGCCGCATGCAAGGACAATGTGAATCCAATACAAACTGTCAGGGAAAAACAGCTGTAAGTTATTCACCTATCATACCTAAAATACAATAGTGGGCCACATCTGGGTGCATTACAAGCTAATGGGTTAACAAGAGACACTGACAGATAGTTTTGTTAACTTATTAACTGACAGCTAGTACTCTTCCACTGATGAGTAAAATCATCTGACATTAGACAGATTAAAATACTAAAGTAGGTCACATCTGGGTGCATTGCAAGCTAATGGGTTAACAAGAGACACTGACAGATAGTTTTGTTAACTTATTAACTGACAGCTAGTACTCTTCCAGTGATGAGTAAAATCAACTGACATTAGGCAGAGTAAAATACTAAAGTAGGTCACATCTGGGTGCATTGCAAGCTAATGGGTTAACAAGAGACACTGACAGACAGTTTTTTCAACTCATTAACTGACAGTACTCTTCCACTGATGAGTAAATTCATCTGACATTAGACAGAGTAAAATACTAAAGTAGGTCACAAACTTCTTGTTCTTTCATAGGAATTTTATTTGAAATGTGGGGAACATCATGGTAGAGATGAACAAGCGCCATTATCAATGTTGAAATCTAACATCAGAAATATTCCCTGCATCACATGCTCTGAAACATTGTAAGTTTACCCTTTCATTTTATGTCTCCTCTCAGAAATATTTATCCTACTAGGAAAGTTGAATTTTTTAAATCCAAACCGCAGTTAATAGAAACTAATAACTCTGATCAAACATGATCAATATTTAATCAAATTTTTTTCTCTCATGCACCTACCTATTGTTTGAACTGTTTTATTTGATGTTTCATTTTAAACCTTCCTCAATGAAAATATCTATTTTAAGGATTTGTTATTGTTCTTTAATATATAATTCCAGGAACTGACTCAATTTAAATTCAGTCACAAAAATACAAATCAGTATATATGTCTGACAATCAACTTAGAATGCTGCAATCTATTTCTATAACTTTGTGAAAATCCTATAGTTCATTTCAATTGTTCATAATATGTTAGGAGTTTTCACTTAATACCTTACATATTGTTCACACAACAACAGCAGTGGGCCACCATCTTGCTTTAGACATTTCTGGAAGTTCTTCCCAAGAATATCTTTCAAAGTTGAAACATTCAACTGACTTCAGCTCTCCTTGCTCACCGTACCCTCCCAGGACTACAATGTTGTTTTCAATAACAACTGCAGCACATCCCCACCTCTTACATCTCATTGATGGCAGCATGTGACTTTGTTCTGTCTTGACATTGTAAATGATAACTGTATCTAATGTCTGCCATTGTTTGTCAGCGCCACCAATAATAACAATGTTGTCTCCCCATCTCACAGTTGCCATAGCACTCACTTCATACGGCAGTGGTGACAACTGTTTCAGCTCATTCTTCTTTATATCGTACAGTACGACACTGCTGAGGTTGTCTTTGTAATCACTAGTTGTTCTTCCACCAACTATCAACAAATTATCATCAAATATTTCCATGCTGTGACATTGTCTTGGTTCTGGCATTCTTGATAAGGTCTTCACAGTATAGGGAGGAACAAGCTGGACGGCTCTGATCAAGTCAGATAAAATATTTCCATTACCACCTCCAGAGACTATCAACTGATCATTATACAGCACACTGCTGTGGTTCCACAACTTATTAGGTAGTTTAAAAGGACAGTCACTCCAGTGTGTTGAGAGATCAGGGTTTGGGTCAATATTCATTCTAATCATATCATCAACAATGCCAGACCTATCACACCAACCCCCAGCTATAGTCATATGATTGTTATAAATAGATGAAGTCGCTCCACAACGATTCTCTGGCATTGATTGTAATGGCGACCATGTTCTTTGACGCCAGTTAAACATCTCTACAGAGTTCGTTCCTACACCTCCAGCAACAATTATATTTTCCTGATTACCACTTGGTCTATTTATTACTTTTCTTGTGTTTTCTTTTATCTTGCCCTCCATCGTGATAAGAACGTCCTTCATTTCATCAAAAGCTCTGACCAAAGCTGTTTTCAATCCATCGACTTTGTTGTTAACCACTTCGAGTTTTCCTTCCATATCTGCTTTTATATCTGCCGTGTTTTTCTCGATATTATTCGCAACAGTGGCAACATTTTTTTCCAAATTTGTCATTTTAGTTTCAAATTTTCCATTATTCTTCTCGATATTCGCCATTCTTTCCTCCATATCTGCTAAAGTTTTCGTCATTTCCCCGCACGAGTGACACTTCAACTTTCGGAATTCACATACTTCACTTTCATGGTGAATAAGATCACGCTTGTTGACAATTAAACCACAGCCTTGGTTTGTACAAACGGCTGGTGTATATCCACATGTATCTTCATGGCGGTCAAGATGCTGTAATTCTACAACTTCTTGACAACCTCTGTCGATGTGAACGCAACGAATTTTTGATTCATTCAAATAATCTTTTATCATTCTTTGTGGTTCGGCCAAAGTCTCTACGCTCAGTTCATCAGCACACGTTGGGCATGTTTGAGAATTTTCCAGATGTTTCGTAATACAACAACGGCAAAAAGAATGCTGGTTTCTCGAACACATAACCGGCTCTTTCAACACGTTGAAGCAAATCTGACAGAGGAAATTTTGATTGATTTTGTCCACAAACCTTTCTTCATCATAGCCTTGTATATATGAAGCCATATTACACGTCGTTCTTGTGTCGTAATAATAAAGCAAGTTCTGTGTTGTTTGTCACTCTGTAGTATAAACCTCGCTGTATAGACTGAATATAGATACAGTGCTCGTTCTTGGAGAAGTCTGTGTTTGTATTTTCTTAAATCGCTACGGCAAAATTATCTGTTTAGAACAGCAGAGAAAGATCTCTTCCTAAGTGTTTAAGGAGTGTTTTGTAGAGAGGAATTTGTGGTATAAAAAATTATGTTAATATTATTGTCTTGTGACAAAAGCTGAGCATCTCCTATTCAAATACTGGCTTGCAATTGGTTGTGCTTATGTTGATAGGAATTTCGTGTTTCATATGGAAATGAGTTCGAAGAAAATGATACTTTATACCAAGAAAAATCAATCATAACAAATAGTTTATGGACAGAGCGTATGGCTACACGGTGTGGATATCATGGTTCAGTAAGGATAACCTCGTTGTTAACCGCTTCAAGTTTTTCTTAGATATCTTCCAGGTTGTTCTTGTGTCGTAATAATAAAGCAAGTTCTGTGTTGTTTGTCGCTCTGTAGTATAAACCTCGCTGTATAGACTGAATATAGATACAGGGTTCGTTCTTGAAGAAGTCTGTGTTTGTATTTTATCGAAATCTTCTCCAAAATGATCAGTTTATGAAGACAAATATTTCTTCCTAATAAAGTGAAGTGTTTTCATAAAATGCATCATTTGCTGTCAGGAATTCTTGGAATTTGTTGCGATGCTTCCACAAATAAATTTAAAAATATCGCGAGCTGAGAGAGAGAACTGGGACTGGAGTATAACGCACTGAGCTATGTATGCTAAGTGAATGGGTCAAACTGCATGGTCCAGCATTATGAACCTAGATTTTTCCTAATCGTGTCAGATGATTTTACTCATCAGTGGAAGAGTACTGTCAGTTAATAAGTTAACAAAACTATCTGTCAGTGTTTCTTGTTAACCCATTAGCTTGCAATGCACCCAGTTGTGACCTACTTTAGTATTTTACTCTGTCTAATGTGAAATGATTTTACTCATCAGTGGAAGAGTACTGTCAGTTAATAAGTTAACAAAACTATCTGTCAGTGTCTCTTGTTAACCCATTAGCTTGCAATGCACCCAGATGTGACCTACTTTATATTTTTTTGTCTAAGTCTTGAATATTTTCGCGGTGCAATAATATTCCAATCTAAATGAATTTTCATCAACACACAAATGGTTCAGGATATCTTGTGGATTGATCTACAGCTGTGGTGAATAAGAAAAACGCAACTTCAAAGTGTTTATGAAATTCACTTTCGCTTTGATCACAAAAGATCGTATAGCGTATCAAAATATTCATAAATATTAAGTGTTGTGTTTTTTTAAACATCCTGTATAAGTGCGGTCATTATATCGATGAAAAGCCATTTCAAGCTAGAAGATTAAATTTTAGCAGATCAAAGATGTTTGGAGTTGTTAAGATCGTTGTTATATTCCTAGTCTTTGCAGGTACTGGAATACATATTGTGATATATATCTTTGTTCATAGAATTCTCAAGTATCACTTCGTTATTCTTCATCGTATTTTTCTGTATTTATTTTTCTAGATAATGCGGTTGAATGTTTTAAACTTGGTCAGCTTTGCAGCTCAAATGGTAGAAATTCAATCCGTGAATTTGACAGTCAGGGTTGTGTTGATTTCGGAACACCAAGGTAAGACCAGATGTAAGCTTGTAACAACACAGCGAATCGATAATATTCTTATAATCTTACAAAACAATTAAATTAACGTGAATTTATCATTATACAGAGGTTCTCGTACACACAATGGTGTCGACATAGTTTGCAAACTAGGGAGTTCTGTCATGACACCATTTGCTGCGAAGATCTGACGAAAATCACGTTCTTATTCAAACAACAACAAACCATATAACAATGGATTTTATATTCAAGGAAGCGGAGAAGCCGAAGGTATCATCTCTCTCACATTAACAACCAAATTCATATTAGGCACGGGAAATTCATCTTAGACAGCAAAGTTGATTGTAAAAACCCGTCTTAATATGACTTGGAATGGATATAAAATTTACGCGTGTAATGGGTCGGGTAATGCTAAAAAGGGTATCGTGATTATTACGATAATAATTTTGTTTATTTTCTCAGTTAAGCGCGCCTCACAGGAGAGCTGGTAGCTGAGGTAAAGACCTCGCGAGGCTGTTAGCTCAGCAAGTTACTCTCGTGTGCGGATAGTTTTTCGTGAGGAATTCGCCTCGAGAGGCAAGTTTCTATCGTGTGCAGATAGTTTTCAGGCTGAGTTAACTGCCTCGCGAGGTCGTTAGCTCAGCTGATAGCTCTCTTGTGCGGCGGGCTTTACCCTTGTTCCGTCCTTGACCGTGTTGATATTTCAGAAACTCGTCTGATTTATCCGTCTAAATGCGAATTTAACGAGTTTCTCGTCCAGAAGGGATTCCCGGTCAAATTAACCGTTTGTTTAGACGGGAAAGTTAGGCGGGAAAATTCTGACGAGAAACCCGTCTGTGGCCTGATTCACATCAGACGAGTTTCCCGTCTAAGATGAGTTTCCAAGAGGAGTTTCCCCTGTAAGACGAGTTTCCTGTTTTCCTTGACCTTGTAAGACGAGTTTCCCGCCTCTAATATGAATTCGGCTAAACTAAATTTTAAACTATAATGCATTTCTCGAAACAGAATGAGTAATGAATTTGTCATTGACTCCCGTCACCCCCCGGGTTAGGTCTAAATGGTAATTTCATGTCGTGCTTTCAAGTAAAGATAAAAATACAATAAAAATAAAAGAAAGTGTAGGCACAGAATACCTATCAGAAGAACAACTCCATTGTTTTTTGCATAAGTGGTTCATTCACTCAGCAAGTACCGGTAAATGAAGGCAATCACCCCCCTGCGAACTGCCCCATTTTGAATATGAACAGGGGGGTGATTCCATCCATTTACGATAATTGCTGAGTGATGAATCTTGGGAAGAAATACCCCCTGCTATCAACTGCAATTTTAATATTTGCAGGGTGGTGATTCATAGAAGTCCAATAAAGAGGGAGAGTGTTAAAATTGAATAATCAATTTCTTTTTCAGATATAAAATGGATATTTCAGGTGGTCTTGGAAGATCTGCTGGAAAGGTATCCATATTCACAATTTTCTTCTCCATATTTGAAGATATTCCCTCCATAATCATAAATTTTTTCCCTGTGAAAAACCTTACTTTTTGTCGTGAAATTTTTCAGATATGGCGACTGGCGTGTTGGTCTGATGGGGTTGAACAGTACAAAAGATAATGTAAATCTTGTACTAAAAGCCTTCAAGGATGCGATGGAAAACGTGAAATTACAAAACAATCTGTGAGCAAACTTGAAACATCAATTTTATTTTAGTTGACAAACCAATTTATATTATTTAATCAGGGTTCTGTTTTAATAAAGAGTAAAACTATCTCTCCAAATCTTGTTAATTGTTAAATTTTAAAATATGACTTGGTTTGTGGCAGTCTGACAGACACAGACATCATTTACAGACAGGCTGATATTTAAAATAGGTAACTGAACTATTTCTTGAGGCAGAGGCTCAGTTAGGATTCTTGGTCTGGGGGACTGGGGCAGAAGAACCTAGGTGGGGAGGGGTGGGGTTTTAGCTGAAAAACGTAGGTGGGGAGGAGGGGTGTGAAAAAATCTGTGGGAGGGAGGGGGTGAAAAACCTAGGTGGAGGGGGTGCAGAAAAGCTTATTTCAAATGTTTTATTTGGTGTTTCATTTTTAACCTTCCTCAATGAAAATATCTATTTCAAAGATTTATTATTGTTCTAAGAACTGACTCAATTTAAATTCAATCACAAAAATATAAATCAGTATATGTCTGACAATCAACTTAGAATGCTACAATCTATTTCTATAACTTTGTGAAAATCTTATAGTTCATTTCAATTGTTCATAATATGTTAGGAGTTTTCACTTAATACCTTACATATTGTTCACACAACAACAGCAGTGTGCCCCCTTCTTGCTTTAGACATTTTTGGAAGTTCGTCCCAAGAATACCTTTCAAAGTTGAAACCTTCCACTGACTTCCAGTGGAATTGTTCACCCCCCCTCCCAGGACTACAATGTTGTTTTCAATAACAACTGCAGTACATCCACTCCTCTTCCATCTCATTGATGGCAGCATGTGACTTTGTTCTGTCTTGACATTGTAAATGATAACTGTATAAAATGTCTTTCTATGTTTGTTAATGCCACCAATAACAACAATGTTGTCTCCCCATCTCACAGTTGCCATATCACTCACTTCATACGGCAGTGGTGACAACTGTTTCAGCTCATTCTTCTTTATATCGTACAGTACGACACTGCTGAGGTTGTCTTTGTAATTACCAGTTGTTCTTCCACCAACTATCAACAAATTATCATCAAATATTTCCATGCTGTGACCTTGTCTTGGTTCTGGCATTCTTGATAAGGTCTTCACAGTATAGGGAGGAACAAGATCGACTGATCTGATCAAGTCAGATGACACATTTCGCAATCACCTCCAGAGACTATCAACTGATCATTATACAGCACACTGCTCTGGTATCTCAACTCATCAGGTAGTTTAACAGGACAGTCGCTCCAGTGTGTCAAGAGATCAGGGTTTGGGTCAATATTCATTCTAATCATATCAAACAATGTCAGACAAACCACACCAACCCCCAGCTATAGTCATATGATTGTTATAAATAAATGAAGTCGCTGCCCAACGTTTCTTTGGCATTGATTGTAATGGCGACCATGTTCTTTGACGCCAGTTAAACATCTCTACAGAATTAGTCAAAAAACCTCCAGCAACAATAATATTTTCCTTATCACCACTTGGTCTATTTCTTACTTTTCTTGTGTTTTCTTCTATCTTTCCCTCCATCGTAATAAGAACGTCCTTAATTTCATCAAAAGCTCTGACCAAAGCTGTTTTCAATCCTTTGACTTCGTTGTTAACCGCTTCGTGTTTTCCTTCCATATCTGCTTTTAAATCTGCGACTGCGACTGTGGTATTTCTCGCCATATTTTTCTCTAAATTTGTTATTTCAATTGTTACATTATTCTTCTCGATATTCGCCATTCTTTCCTCCATATCTGCCAAAGTTTTCGTCATTTCTCCGCACGAGTGACACTTCAACTTTCGGAATTCACAGACTTCACTTTCATGGTGAATAAGATCACGCTTGTTGACAATTAAACCACAGCCTTGGTTTGTACAAACGGCTGGTGTATATCCACATGTATCTTCATGGCGGTCAAGATGCCTACAACTTCTTGACAACCTCTGTCGATGTAAACGCAACGAATTTTTAACTCATTTATAAAATCTTTTACCATTTTATTTGGTTCGCCCAAAGTCTCTACGGTCAGTTCATCAGCACACGTTGGACGTTGTGTCGTAATAATAACAAGTTCTGCGTTGTTTGTCGCTCTGTAGTATAAACCTCGCTGTATAGACTGGATATAGATACAGTGTTCGTTCTTGGTGAAGTCTGTGTTTGTATTTTCTCGAAATCTTCTCCAAAATGATCAGTTTATGAAGACAAATACTCTTCCTTATAAAGTATTTGCATAAGACGCGTCCTTTCCTGTCAGGACTTAGGAATTCCTGGAATTTGCTGCGGTGTTTCCAAAAATGAATTTGAAAATGTTGCGATCTGACGGAGAGAGAGCTGGAGCAGAATGAAACATTTTTCTGATATTTTCAGTAGATTTTAGAGAAATGTTATTTTGCAGTAATTTAAGTCGACTCTAAAAGCTTTAACTTGTTCTATTTAAAATGCGAATTTACACTTTCAAAAGTGCTGACGATGCTGCGATAGTTTTTAATATAGCTCTTCATTTTAACCAAATCCTGAATATCTTTCGGATTATGTTAGGAATTTGGTTAAGATTATGTTTTAGGTTTATTGTTTATTCGCGTTAAACCTGATCCTAAACTGAACCTTAATCCTAACCTAATCTCAAGGATTAAATGGAATTATATTGTCAACATAGAAAACGGTAAACATTCCAGTTTATTGAAAGATCAGTAAACTGTCAGGGAGTGAAATTTCAAGGCAAAGAGGAAGTTTGTTTTGGCAGTAAATGAGTTAAAAAAACTATCCCTGAGACATACTTATTATTTGAGATTATGTTACGATTTGGGTTAAGATTAGGTCCTAGGTTTATTGTTAAATAGGGTTAAACCTAATCCTAAATTTAACCCTAATCTTAACCTAATCTCACGGATTAAATGGAACTATTGCCAACATAGAAAACGCTGAACATTCCAGTGTCCCAAGAGATCAGAAAACTGCCAGGGAGTGAAACTCACTGAGCTATATAATAATTCCTGGAGGACCGGCTCGCTGCCAAATCGTGTCGCCAAAAACATGGCGGATTTTGAGCTTTGCTGACGCCACATGGTTCCTTTTGCTCGTGGTGGTTACCACTGACATACCGCGATACAAGGTGAAAAACTGTGTCCATCTCCCTCCTGGTTTTTATGAAAATATTTTCAGCTTTGCAAATATGACTCATGGTTGAAACTATACTCTTGCACTTAGTCAGCTGCCAAGCATCTTGCCCCTGAGCTTTGGCCTCTGTTTCTTTGGATTATACCTAGATATATTGTCCTGAAGACATTCAAGAAAACATTATTAATTGCATACTTTCAGTAATTCTGCAGTTCATGCAGGGTATAAAAAAGTCTAATTGATGTCCATAAATATCCAATTGTCCCCAAAATGTCCGACAATAGTGCCAAAAAGTTCAAGCATTTGTTATAGGAATGTATAAATAATGAAAATATAAAAAAAAACACCTGTCAGTTCGTGTCAGAATTAAAATCTTCAATTTTGTCCACAATTTTTTACGTTTTAATATACAATTGTTCTTGAGTTGGCAATAACAGCATCTACGACTTGTATTCATCTTAAAAAAACGCTTTATATTTCAAAAAAATCCAATTAATGATGTTTTCATGACTTTATATTTCAGAAAAACAAACTGAAGTTTTCACGGGAATTTTTTTTATAAAGGCCAGGGGGGAGAATCTGTTGTTTAATAAATCCAGGGGGGAGGACACCCTTGTAGCGGGCTCATATTTGAGCCTGGTCAGTGGTAACTACCATGGCCAAAAGGAAACCATGTGGCGTCAGCAGAGCTTCTGCGGTTGCGCAGAAGGGCGAAGTCCGCCATGTTTTTGGCGACAAAAAGATGGCGGCTAAGTTACCGAAAAATGACGAGCCGGTCCTCGAGGTATTATTTCAGACAAAATTTGTTCAAAAACCAACAAGTTTAACCACGGCCAGGTTACTAAGTTCAAAAACAAAATCCAAGATGGCCGCACGTCAGGCAAGTATGAATATGCATGAGGTCGATTTGGATGTAAATATTGACGATGTCGATGAATTCGAACTGTGCGATGATAAAAGTACTAACGAGGTAAGATATTCGTCGAAGACATGTCTTCAATCCCACTTCTAGGGATTTAAAGGTTGTTCTGGGGTAGTCAATAGTGTATAATTTGTACGGATAATAATGCATGGGGAATGTATATATTGTACAAAACAGTACATTGTAACATTTTAGTGTGTGATAATAGCAATCTGATCAATGGATTTGGCTTGGGTCAAACGTCAAACTTTTCATGCACCAAACATAATGCAAATAAAATGAAACAAAAACTTAGCTTGTTATCATTAGGTTTGATGCATGAAAAGTTTGACGTTTGACCTGGCCTTATGCATTTGAAATAATTACTACAGCATAATGAAGGCCATAACCTAAATTCTGTAGTTATACAAAACGTCTAAAACCTAAATGTCTAAAAGCAGCTTATAAACTGCGATAACTGCACAATTTCAAGCTGAAATAAATTATATCTTCGGTAAGATTGCAATTACCAACATTCAAAACCATCTTGTTGGGTGCATGTTAATGTGGCTATGTTCCATCACTAGGTTCCTTTACTGTTTGGCTATGTAGCCACATCAATATAATGCTGCAAACTTAAGGCTAAATTCAATGTCAAAGTGTTTATATGTAGGTCAGTAGGTGCAGTGTATGGTGGATAGCCAGTGGCCATGTATTTCAATAGTTTCAGGGCTGGTATTCTATGGTTGTACTAAATATGTGTTGCATAAAGTGTCCCCTTTAAATAGTAAACACGTATTGCACAGTTGCGCTTACAAGGGCATTCTATTATCATGTTGAAACATGGTCACATTACAGACAACTGCAATTATTTTAAAATGCCTTAAATATAAATGTCAAAGGTATTAATTTGTATCTTTGAAAATTTAAGTGTTTTAGAATTCTACCAGTACCAAGCTTGCCACACAGACTTGTTCTGCATA